ATAGCCTACTATTTTCCCAAAGGAAACAGAATGAAAATCGTCATTAAATTAAAACATAGATGTCTGTGTTAGGAAAGCCAGGATGACTTTCTAACTATAGTCTAGTTGCAAGAAATACCGAATAAAAAAGATGGACCATGGTGTAAACTTAATAGTCATAGGTAGGAACTAGACCCAGTTAGTTTATTTACTTTACTGTTTTTAATATTGTGTGTTTTTATATTACTTCTCAGATATCAGTAGGCAAATAAATGGAATCTCAACAAGATTCCATTGAGTTGATAAATTCAGAATGTGTATTAGCAAACTTCCAAGCAGAGGGATAATAACAATAGTTAACATGTATTAGACACTATATCAAATGCTTAAGTACATTGTTTCAATTAATTTTTACAACAAATCTATAAATTAAATATATCTATATTTTATGAAGGAAAATTCTGATTCTTAGCAAAGATTAGAATCTTGTTTATGTGGCTTATCTAATAATCTCAAACATGAGGCAAAAAAAACTAACTAGTAGTCACTAAAATAATTCTTTATATGACATGATTGTGACAATATGGGTAACATCAGCAAGAATTTCCAAATTAGTCATAAAAAGAATAGGTAATATTTGAGCCTTTATAATATATCCAGAATAATGCTTAGTATTTCACAATACAGTATGAATTAATTTATTAGAAAAAAAATTGTAATTCATAGTCTATTCCTTCCAAACTCATGCTTTCTCAAGAAAATTTGATCCCTGATTATTTTGTACCTCTTCTAATTTTTTATTATCCCTTTTAATTCCTTTCTTCTCATTAGCTTTTGAATAAGATCAGGCCTTTATGAGTTTAGAAAAGAATTTCCCCAAATAGGGTAAATAAGACCTTCCTTCACGTTATTTTCCCATTCAACTATCACTTATCTCATGCTCCTCATTTTTATTATAAAATTTCTAGAAATAAGTGCCCATGTGTGTCTCAGTTTTCTAACCTCCCATTCACCTCTCCAACCATGTGGAGATGGGCTGCCAGACCCCCATCAAAGAACAGTTTGCTGCCACTGAGGGGATGGTGCTCTGCAGACAGCCTCCATCTGTCTGTGTGCTCCTTCAGGGTGTGCCACAGTTGCAGCCAACTTGTACAAAGTCATGAACTTCCCATGGTGTCCCCCATGTGGATAGGAAGGGGAGAAAAAGGCCCCACATTTTGGTCTGAAGGAAGATAACTGATAGGCAGCATTTACTCTACAGAACCCCTCTGATTGGCTGAAGATTTTGTCAGGCCTGCCATGCAATTCAACTTCTTTCTCTTCCTTAGTCTTGCTTCCTTCATTCAATTCCTTTCACAAGTATGGATATTTAATAAACATCTTATACCACAAATTCTATCACAGCCTCTGATTTCAGAAAGTCTAATTGGGGACACCATTGTGACCAGCTTGTTTTTTAATTTTATTTTTATTTTTAAGGAAAAAAGAGAAAGAAGAATTATTGCTTTGCTAGCAAAGGAGAAACACAGGGGACTCCTGTCCCAAAGGCTGTGATTTCTACTCATTATCAGGAATAGGGGGCTTTTAAAGAGGTGACTCAGAGGCTGCATTTCAGTGTTCTCTGCTGGAGTTGAAATTTGCTTGTTAATTTGGGAGATTGTCATTTCTGAGATCTTCTGGCACCATCCCCAAATTCTGGATTACTTTGTTCCTGTGGCGGGTGTGTACTCAAGAACATATAAATCTGCCTAAAATGGAGAAGAAAGGTAATCCTGTTTTCCCTGAGATTAGGGAGGGGGAGAAATTAGGGAGAAGCAGGAAGAGGGAAGAGAAAGAAACATGCCCATTTTAAAAATAAGTTGCAGTGGCAGAGCAACAATGGCTATTCAAAGCATAAAGTGGACCACTGTTACATTTCCCCTCTGTCCATCTCTATATTCTATTTCTGTGGGAAAATGGGTTATGACATCTCCAAGTTGCTTCCTGCTGAAAGAGGGCGAAATTGGGGAAAGTAACCCAAAGCCCTTGTTCTCTATCATGTAGGGCATGGACAGTTAAGGGTATTCAGCATCAGAGTAGTCCAGAGGTCCAAAGTGCCAAATGACATGTGACTGGACAAGGCATACATAGGGTAGGGATCATGCTCATGCTAAGACAACAACAAACAAGACAGCAAAGCATTACTTTTTTGTAAAAAATTAACCCAAAAGTACAATAGTGACCCACTTTATGCTTTGAAAATACCCCTTGGTGCTCTGCCACTGCAACTTATTTTTATAATGGACACATTTCTTTCTCTTCCTCTCTCCCAGCTCCTCCCTAAATTCCCTCCACCCTCTCAATCTCAGGGGAAACAGGATTACTTTTCTTCCCCATTTTAGGGAGATTTATCTGTTCTTGAGTACATATCCACCAAAGGAATGAAGTAATACAGATTTTGGGAATCCAGAAGATCTCAGAAATGATTTTCTCTCAAATTAACAAGTGAATTACAACTCCATCAGAGGACACTGGAATGTAGCCTTTGAGTCACCTCTTTAAAAGCCACATTTTCCTTCCGATGGGCAGAATCAATGCCTTTGGGACAGAAGTCCCCTATATTTCTCCTTTGCTAGCAAAGCAATAAATCTTCTTTTTCCTTTTTCTGAAAACCATGTCCTCATTATTGGATTGGCATCAGGGATAAGGACCAAGCTTTCAGCAACAAACACAATTAGTATTTCAGCCAGTCCCTGAAAACCATAAAGACAGTAACTCATAATCAACTAGCTTGGTTTCAATTGCCTCAGTGAATCTTTCTAAGGACACCAGTGACTTGTGTGTTGATAAATCTAATAGACAGAGCTCAGTCATCAGTCTACTATAATTCATATGGCATTTGAAAGAGTAATTAAGAAAAAATTAGTGTCAGTCTGCTGGATTAACATGCTCCTTGTGGAAACATTATTCATTTGTTCTTTTCTTATCAATATATAATAATTGGTGTTATGGTTTAGATATGAGTATCCCCCCAAACTCATGTGTGAGACAGTGCAAGAACATTCAGAGGTAAAATGACTAGGTAAATAAGAACAACAACATTGTCAGTGGACTTTTACAATAACTGGGTAGTAACTGGAGGCAGGTAGAGTGTGTGGCTGGAGGAAGTAGGTCACTGGGAGAGTGCTTTGAGGGCCTATATTTTGTCCCTGGTAAGTGGAGCTCTCTGCTTTTCAGCTGTTATGACCTGAACTGCTTTCCTCTGCCACTCCCTTTTGTCATGATAATTTTTCTGCCTTTATCTTCAGCCCAGAGGTATGGAGTTGGCCAATCATGGAACGAACCTCTGAAACTATGATCCAAAATAATCTTGTTCTAAGTTGTTCTTGTTAGGTATTTTGGTCACAGTGACACAAGCTGACTAAAACAACAGGCTTCAAATAGCATGCAAATTATAAGAATATAAAACAAACAAGACAGAATTCGTATTTTCTGAGAGCTCTGTTTAATGTTTTGTTGGATAGGGAGGAAGAGAGAGCAGAAATCGAGCAACTTCCAGGCTTGAGCATGGGTGACTAGATGACAGAGATGTCACTGAAAGAGAATCTATAGGAGGGGTAGTTGAAGGCAGAATGTGGAAGATTTCAGTGTTGAGTGTTATGAGTTACAATTATTTGCAGGATATCACATATAAATGCCTTCAGAGTAATTATAACAGAATCCAAATTGCAGGAAGCTAAAAATTGAATATTACATAAGAATGTGACAAAGGAATAAACATTGGTGGAGGATTCCCACGTCTGGTTTGCATCAAAGTAGTATTTACAACTAATTAAAAATGAATTACAGAACTTGGGCTGTAGCTCAGAGGCAGAGCACTTGCTTAGCATGTGTGAGGCACTGGGTTCAATCCCTAGGACTAAGTAAAATAAAGGCATTCTGTCCATCTACAACTACAAAAAAAAAAAAAAGAATTATAAAGTTCCTTTCCATATTCAGATTCAGTTGAAAAGACGTGCATTTCTATAAAGTTTATAGCTGTACTGTATTCAATTTGCATTCTCTGGAAATCAGACATCAAGATGGGGTAAAAATGCAAAGATTTTCTTCTGATGGCCAAGGAGGAAATACCTGTGTGAAAAGAAGTTGGGAAAGAGCCAGAGAACACTCAGGAGTCATTAGATGGCATGCAAGTCAGCTCCAGGGAACGCAAGACAGTTGGGAAGATTCTCAAAGTGCTATGCAGGTAAGGAAGGTTTAGCAAGGATTTCAGGGAGTCCTCAAACTAAAGCATGTACACGAGGGAATCTGTGTCATGACTTAGTACTCCTGCCAAATTCAACCACTGGCTGGACCAGCCTATGGGAAGCCTGGTTAGGGCAAAAGGTGATAATGGATTTCAGAACACAGCCATTGAGGCCTTTAGTCCATTATATCCCCCATTGCTAGAGGTCTTGGAGTCATGTTCTTCAGACTGTCAAATGTATTTCACCATTTTAAGACAATAAGGTAAGAAAAGGAAGCTTGAAATGGGCTGCAGTTGGAGAGGTATTTGGATTTGAGGCAAGGTTTTTTTCCCTCCTACTCCTAGAGAGATTTTAATATATTTGTAAGTCTGGTGGGGAGGGACATAAGAGGGAAAGAGATGATGTGAGAAGGAGAATGGAAAAGAATGAATTATGCAGGAAGAACACCCTAAAGGAAGTAGAAAGAAATAAGATCAAAGGTTCTGGCTTTGAATTTCTGGCATGACATTTTATTTTATGGAATAGCATCCAGATTTGGGTAAAGACTGAGGGCTATACCTTTTAGGGAGTTGAAGGGAATTGCATTTGGTTATCTCAATTTCTAACACAAAACAGGAGGCAAAGAATCAAGTGCAGTGGTGGAAGATTTGGTCTTGGATAGGTGGTACCCTATCTGAGGCTGCAGCAGCAATAGTGAGGATGGGTTCAGAGAAAGACTCTTCTGTAGGTATGAGTTCAAGTTAAGGAAGAGAAAGGCTAATGACCTTCATGTTTTTATGAAATAGGAAGCAAGGATTTTCAGCTGAAGTGATTTTTTTAATTTGTAGCTCTTCTTGCACAACAAAATTATACACACAAACTATAACAGAAGTCATATTTTGTATATTAAAATTAATTCTTAAAATATATTTTTATATTAAGATAATTATTACATAAATCTTTCTAGGTCTATGTATGTCCATTTCTTGATGCAGAAATCATAACTCTGAAATAGTCTCCTAACCTAATTTGGAATTTTAAAAACTGACATTGCACTGAATTTATAGTATTCTCAATCAGAAATAATTACTGAAAATATACTTTCAGTGAATTGTACATATTTCCTATCAAATGTAACAAACAAGAACCACTTTTGACATACAATTTTATTTAGTTCTAAAAGAAAGTCATCACAAGGGAACATACTGGCTAGCCAAAAAAAAGTAAACATTAAAATATTTCATAATTGAAGGGAATTTTGAGATGAATAGTTTCTAATCTGAGGACTTCAGGCCCTCATATTCTATAAATTGAATGGTAGAAGTTGATGGCATTTTCAAATTTTTTCCCCACAACTTATAAAATATGAAATTAGCAAATCCCAATGCTGGCTATTCTATTAATAAGTCATGATGGGATAAGGGATACATTATTTATCCTCTCGGTGCCCTCATCTGTAAACCACAGGATTAGATTGTCAATTTTTCTCACCTTTTTTCACTACCAATTATTTCAAGCTTTTACAATTAGCCCTCCTACCCCAGATGTCTTTCAGAAGCCTTTATCCATTTATAAAACTCATTGTTTAAATAATCATTAATGTATTACCTGTGTTTTAGTATTGTAAAAACCTCACTGAAATTTTTTAAAAATTCAATTGTAAACAAACTCAGAGCCTTCGTAGAGGTAAATGGGATTTCTATTAGTTCTATGTGTCCCTTTCTTGGGTGTTGGGTCTTGTACTTTGTGTCATGGCATGTAGTGTTCTTAGCATTTGAAACCCAAATTTGCTTCACATTTGGGGGGCATCTGCTTTGGGAATGAGTATGAATGGATAGGAAGCACCCTAGTCCAACACTAAGGTGCATTAATTTTGTGCTCCTTCTGTTGGCCAACTTTCTAGTAAAGGGCTAAACATTTTTTTTTTTAAGTTCTGCAGAGGTAATTGAAAAGAAAATTAAAAAAATATTTAAAAGTTTTTCTAGTAAAGAGGTTCCAGAAAAGGTGGGTGATTTTTAAGGTCCTTCTTTCGATTCTTCAAAACTGTAGGGTAGTCCTTTCCCTATCTACTTTAGCTATAATAGTACTTTAAACAGAGTACAGAATTAAACTGTTAACATATGAATCTGCAAAAATGAAAACTTATTTTAGGCTCTTCTGTAGTTTAATCTTAGATGTACATAATGAATGCACAAAGTTCTTATCAAATAATTAACATATATTTGTAATTAACAAATAGGGACAAACTTTGTACCAAAGTTCTGCTTCTATTATGATTTTTGGAAACATTTAACTGATTAGCAGCATAGGAGCTAACTCTGGCTTTTAAAAAGATACACAATTTGAATAGACAATATATGATACTATCATAAGTAGAGACACAAACAACAGTTTTCTTTCTTGTGAATTGTTTTAAAAGTTTCTTCCTTACATTCTTTATTCTTCTCTGTTACTTTATGGACAGGACAGTCATTTCTTCAATGATATTCCTTTTTTCCTTCTTTTTTGGGGGGAGGGTAAAGGGAATCATGGATTTTATCTATTGTCTAAAAGAAGTACATTCACAATTGCAGACAAAGCAAAAATGGGATATTTAATAATTCTTACATCTCACTAACATAATCTTTTAAGATACTAATTAAGTAGATTATTTTCTAAATTCAAAACTTTATAAAGATTTCCAGCATTTCATCACAAATGACAATAAGTAGTTTTGTGCATTCGTTTTTCTACAATACCCAATAAAACATGCCAATTAAAATCCAGACTTCATGTTGGCAACTAATGAATATGGCAGAATGAACAGGACCAAGTGCTAGTCATTGTCATAGATGCAACCTGAAAGAAAAAGAACACAAATTTAAGTACAGTTACATAAAGTGCATATTCTTAAGTGTTCTAAGATTAGAAATAAGGGTAATTCATATTTCATAATTCAGGATTAAATAAAAGTAAAATGGGTTAATTTTATGAAAAACTTATTAAACTAAAGGCCGTGTATGTAACTTCCACTGTTTAGTATACAATTCCAACTAAATTTCTGGAGAGAATTAAACTCACCATCAAAATAAGACCCAAGATTATTTTATCTCACACTTACTTAAATGTAAGATTAAAAACCAAACTTATTGGTAAGTATCATATGCTTAAAAGACTAAAAGGCAACCTCATTATCACTAGGCTTCGCTTTAGCTGAGAGGAATTTTTTAAATCACAATTTAGAAATGTATGAAGTTTGTACTTGTACATACTAGTACTATTTGTTATGAAATAAATACATATTCATTGAGTAAAAATGATGTTTATTTGGATAAGAAAATCTTAAGATTTATGGTACAATGAAAAATTCACCAAATATTTGTATAAAACTTCTCTTTTCAAAGAAAATAAGAGTTCCTTTAAAAAAAAAATTTCAGCTCAATGTGAAAGGAAGACTCATAATGACACCAGAACATTTACCTTTCCTAACATTTTCAAGTAGCTTAAATTCTGATTAGACAGAAAGGTTCTAATTAGTCTAACAAGCCATTTTCAGTATTGTATAGATAATACTGTAATTGTAAATTCATGTTACTGTTCTCTGTGGTGGATGCTATCTGAGACTTACCATCAGCAATATCGTCATAGATCTCACCGTCACTGTAAATATAAAAAATAATTTTTATTTTGTAGAAAATGTCTTCCTAACATTAAAGCAATATATAGAAGAAAAGAGCAATAATGTGTTTTTTTTATAATCCAAACTTTTAAAAATGAGAAGCTGTATGTTATGCATTTGTAAGTAGCAAGAAACTTCATATTCCTCTGTATTTCTTCTTTCTTGGCTTTATTCAATCCTGCTTTGCTACAAACAGAATAAAGTGAAACAGTCCTAGGAGCACACAGAATCTGCCCTGTCTGCCCATCTTCAGCCCTTATCATGGTCACACAGCTGTGCTCTAAGAAATGTGGTCAAACTGAGCCAATGGAACAGTCAGAGCACAGTCCTCCACTGGGGGCCTTGATCAAAAATGTAACAAATTTTTATAACCATTAGTAACAGATTCATAATTCTACTTAGATTTCAAACATTGAATAAAATGCAATAATCTTCGACAAAGGAAATAGCTGTATTATTTTTACATTTCTAAGTATAACTTGTAAATATCAATTTTAAAATATATAAATATTAACTATGGAATAAGTAGTCAAGATATGGTTATTATGGGGATTCTTATGTTATATAATTATATAAAAATTATTTATCATTATAGACAGCATCTATAATAGTAACTTTGGCTTCTTTTATACATTTTGGATTTAGCCTGGTCCTGAATCTCTGTGAAATATTTTATTTTATTCAACAAACAGATTGAGTCCTTTCTAAGTAGCAGGAGGCATAAATATGAATGAGACACAGGCTTTGATTTTAAGAAGCTGATAATCTAATGAGAGTGATCTATAAATAATAAAAATAGAAGGCATTATAAATAGGATCACAATCTTGAAATACAGGATACGGTTTCAAGTTTCACAAATGTGAGGTTGCTATGTCACTTAGACCAGACCCATTCCCAGTTCCTGTCCTCTCTCTGTGCTTTATCATAGAAGCAGCAGCAGCCCTTCAAATTGCTGCCAACTACGACAGATGCTATGAGTTCCCTATGTCTTCTGTTTGGATCCTTTCTCTGAGAATGAGGGAGGGTTTGGCTAATAGAAATCTCATACAAATGAAAAGAGAACAGATTTTCCTGTCATTCATTTATTAAGTGTTCATTACGTGGTGAACCAATAATTAGACAGTATATGCTCTACATTCTCTTTCTTCCCCCTCTTTTTTCTTTGCACTGTTGGGGATTGACCCCAAGGACTCACATGGAGGGCAAGTGTTATACCTCTGAGCTACATCCCAGCATTTTTTTTTCTTTTATTTTGAGACAGGGTCTGGCTAAGTTTCCCAGGCTGGCATTGAACTTTTGATCCTCTTGCCTCAGGCTGCCTAGTAGCTGGGATTACAGGCATCTATATTGTCTCTTAATCATCCTGTAATAATCAGTGATGAACATGTCCTCCTTGTCATACATTATTTCCATAAAAATTTATCTTTTATAATAAAAGCTATAGAAAATTCCCCCAAGCCCACCACTGTTATTAAAAGTTGTAATGTGAAAAAAAGATATTATGAATTTTTTGTTTTGACTCTGTTAGTTTTCTGATAGCTGCCTTACATTGATTTGTCTCTTTCTAATTGGTGTCAGATTGTATATGGATAAATAGTTTGTGAATCCTCCTTGATTTTTTATTATGCTGAATTCCATAAATATTTGTATTGGTAAAGACCTAATCTAATAATGGAGTTCATTTCTTGCACTGTGTTTCTTAGAGCAGAATCTTAAAATAGTTTGGAGGACTCCAATGGCACACCAGTACCAAACTGTGGCAGACCGTGACAACATCTAATTCATAAAGATAGAAGAATCATTGACTATTCTCTTCTTTCTAGCATGCTTCCAATAAAGGCAACATAACAGTTTACTATGCCTGGGGTGAGTGTAGAAAAATTCTCAGTCAGAAGCTGAACTATAAACTGCTAACAGGAGATAATCGTATTTATGATATAGATACTATTTGGTCCCTAGTTAATTAAATTCAACCACTATATTAATCAGTAAGTAAAATGCAAAGTATTAATATAAGAGTGGTTTTGATCTGTCTTTTCTATTTTCTAAGTAGAAAGCCCAGTGAGTATATAAAACTATGAACTGTTTAATCATTAATGAGAGGGGCTTTCTGCTTATTTAAAAGTGGCACTTTATAAAAACCTTATTACAGATACCACCATATTAATATTAGTATAGTATATTGTTTTAAATTTATTTATGATAGCCTAGTAGGTTATATTATTTAAATTATAGTAGAAATCTTTTTTAAAGAAGATAACAAGATTCTTTTTAAAAATGTGATAGAAAAAAAATGGCCTTACTTATCTACCAGATGACTCCGAAGGACATAACCATCTATGAAGAAAAGAGAAAATAAATTTTATTTACAGGTACAGGTTTGAAGACTCTTTAATATCCATTTTAAGAAACTGTCATACAAGCAAATGGTTATCATAATATATTGAATAATTTTATGTCTCTGAATATGACCAATTTTTCTTATTCATGTCTACTTTTCTTCCTTTCCTCTTTTTTCTCTCTTCTATAGATCTCTTTTCTCCTCCATTTATATTTTTTCCTCCATTTCCCTTTTAAATTAAAAAAATTCCTCTAAGATATGACAAATCAAAGTAAATGTTTCCATCAAATTTATTTCTTCAAGGTGTTACTCCCATGTTTTAGGAAGAATTTAGTAAGCATAGATTACAGAAATCATGTATATACAAATTTTGAAAATTTTATCAGAACTAAGACTTAGATTTCAAAGCTTATAATAATGAGCAGAGTCAGAACTGTGTTCAACTCCCTTTTTCAGATGGCTCTTTGGGTGGACTGGGGGAGGCCCTTAATGGTAGTAAAATAGCTCTCATACTCATGGAGATCCCTCAAAAAACTAGGAATGGAACTACCACATGACCCAGCTATCCCACTTCTTGGTACAAAAGAACAAAAATCAGCATACTATAGTGATATAGCCTCATAAATGTTTAGTGTTGCAGGTCACAATAGCCAAGTTATGGAACCAGCCCAGATGTCTGTCAACAGAGGAATGGATAAAGAGAATGTGGTAGATATACACATGGAGTTTTACTCAGCCATAAAGAAGAATGAAATTACAGCATTTGCTGGTAAAGGGATGGAATGGAGAAAATTATGCTAAGTGAAATAAACCAGGCTCAGAAAGTCGAGAGTCAAATGTTTTCTCTCATATGCAGAAGCTAGACCAAAATAAGGGGGGATAGCACAAAACAGAATAGATATCAGTGGAGCAGAGGAAGGGGATTGAGGAGGAGTGGGGAGAGACAGGAAGAGAGGAATGGTGAAATTAAATCAATCAAACTATGCTATATACATATATATCACAAGGAATTTTATCTTTGTATTTATAGTTTTTTAATAAAATTAAAAAAATTTAAATTTAAAACTTTGTCACTAATTTTAAAAATTATAAATAAATAGGAGGAAGACCAGTAGAGTAGAGGAAGAGGAAAAGAGGAAGGGAGGAAGAAAGGAAAATAGGAATACTAGGGACTGAAGTAGGGCAAATTATATTCCATGCTTGACTGATTATGTTGAAATGAACCCCAATATTATATATAACTATGATGAACTAATAAAAATAAATAAATAAAAATATAAATAAAATAGCTTTCATACTTGGTATGAAAGAGCTGCTTGTTCTGCTTTTGCCATTTGAGAATGCTAGTATTTTACTTCTTTGGAACTAAAGTGTTATTATAAGAATACATTTCAGGAATTTCAGTGATACCCTAAGTTAAATAAACCATATTTAACTTAATTAACTTATTTATTTTGGTAACCAGGTTTGAACCCAGGGTGCTTAATTACTAAGCCACATCCTCAGTCCCTTAAATTTTTTATTTTTTTCTATTTTGAGACAGGGCCTCTCTAAATTGGTGAGGCTCACCTTTAACTTTTGATCCTCCTGCCTTACTCTCCAGAGTTGCTGGGATTACAGGTGTGCACCACTATGCCTGGCTAAACCATATTTTATGCAAGAAAACTAAGGTTTTGTTTTCTTTTTGTTTGAGATGATTAATTTATTTTTAAATTAAGAAATATATCATAATTTAACAATTTTTGAAAGTGGATAAGCTTATGTCTAGAAAATCAGATTGTCTCTCAAAAGAAAATAATGCGAGCAAGTAACACAAACTTGTAGAACAAATTAGATCGCAGAGTTTTTTTGTTTGTTATTGTTGTTGTTTTCTTTTCTTTTTTGAGATGGGGGTCTCACTATGTTGCCTAAGCAGTCCTTGAACTTCTGGGCTCAAGTGGTACTCTGCCTCAGATTCCCTAGTAGCTACCTGTGTCTACCACCTGGCCCTGTATAAATAGTAATTTTTTTCATGGTTCCAATAACTGAAATAGTTTTTATATGTATCTCTATTGGAAGTTAAAATAGAATTTGAATAGTACTTTACAGATAATAATAATCATAGACTTTTTTCCATAAGTTAATTTTTTTTTTTTTTTTTAATTTTGGATTTTTCTCTTAAAACAAATTGGAGGGCTGGGGTTGTGGATCAGCAGTAGAACACTCACCTAGCACATGCAAGGTGCTGGGTTTGACCCTCAGCACCACATAAAAATAAATAAAATAAAGGCATGTGTCCAATAACAACTAAAAAAATATTTTTAAAAAGCAGAAAATATTGCTAATATTATAAAAAATTGGAAAATAAATAATACAATAGTAAATGTTCCCATGATATATTCATGTTTTTATTAATAATTTTAAAAATAATGATGTATGTGAATCCAAGCTTTTACCACTGAAGTCAATCTATTTTGAGATGTTAGGATTCCACAAAATCTCTGAAAGGCAGAAAATTAGACAAATATATAGGAAATTATAAGCATTCCCAGAGATTGGAATTGTTCTAGCATCAAATATATTTCAGGTTTTTACTAAACCACTAGAAGAGCTAAGAAAGGTGGTGCATGCTTATAATCCCAGCTATTCAGGTGGTGGAGGCAGCAGGATCACAATTTTGAGACTACAATTTAGTGAAACGATAACTCAACATAAAAACTTTAAAAAAGCTGGAATGTAGCTCAGTGGTACAGCATTTGTCTAGCCAAGGCAAAGCCCTGTGTTCAATCCCCAGTACTACAAAAAACAAAACCAAGAACAAATCAGAAAACAAAGCACTCAACAACAAGAAGACTAAACCTGTACAAGATTATGAGAATAAAGTTCAAAGCAGAAAAAAATGTAATCACCATTTTTAGACATTAATTTTTTCCTATACCTTTAGGAAAACTCAATATGCTAAAATTTTGCAGGTCTGGATAAAATATTGCCTTTTAAAACATTAGTAATTAATGCTATGCAGTCCAATTACTTCAACTTCAAGAAAAATTGTAAACATTAAGAAATAATTATAAAAACATATATTCACTTAGGTTCTGAAACCACCAATATATTTTCTCCTATATCTTCCCTGCTGAAAGTTCTATGAAACAATTTCTCTTTCATTGATAATTCCATTGTTGTCTTTGTTTTGTGTGTGTGTGTGTGTGTGTGTGTGTGTGTGTGTGTGTGTGTGAGAGAGAGAGAGAGAGAGAATAAGCACAGGCATCAATGATTGTGGATATTATTTAGTAAAAATATAGCATGGAAATGGAGTGTAGGATGGTACAATGCTGCTGTATTTTAGTTCCCTGACGATGTAATAATTTAGGGCTCACTAGCTGTAAAAACACCTATATTATACAGCATCTGATAGGATTAATGGCTTTTAATATAGCATAAGTTTTTCTATTACCTTTTAAGAATCTCTGCTAAAACTTCATTCTATTAAAAGCATTGTCTGTGACAATGTCAAAATAAGTGATTTTCATGAATTTTTACGTAATCTCTCTATTATAGTTCCTAGAAATGATTTTTTTTTCCCAGTAGGAGAGTGTTCTCTTTGGCTCACATAAGATGTTTGCATTGATCACAGGGAATGTTAGTAGAAAAATACAGAAAACAAATTTCGTCATGGTTCTATCCCATGTGGAATGGCTGCTGTGCTGTGAGTGCTGATATACCAGGGATATACCACATCAAGTACAATTATTATTCAGAAACCTCACATTCATGAAACGGAACATAATGGCTTGAAATGAATGTTTGGGTAGAGCTAGTTAGGAAAGAAACACCCATCCCCCACCATGTGCCAGTTAGTTTCCACCCCAAATGTTTGCTTGCTCTGGTGCAGATATCTCTCAGGATCGGTGACTCACCTCTTAGAAGGATACTGTGAATAGAAAATTACCAAGGAAATAGAAAATGGTCTTGGTAAAAATAGAAATGATCTTTATTCTAATATTTTCACTTTCTTACTTAATAAACATGACAATGCATTACTTCCTCATTATTTCATTTGCTGTATGTTCAGAAATAAAATTAAATTTACTCAATTTGGCCTTAGGCTGTTTAAAAACAATAAAATCATTTTAACAGATTTACCCAGACAAGTGAAACAATGTCCAACTTCAAGGGAAAATGCCCATGATAGGAAGGAAAAAAAGGGGGAAAAAAAAACCCAAAACAAAAAAATGAGATGTATAATGTCAAAATGAAATTCTATTGATTTTATAAGAATACTCTCCCTTTCTTTTCTATCTCTATTTTTAGTTTCTGGGGCTTATATTAGACTGGCTTTTTAAAAAAATTATTTTGTTTATTTATTTTGAGACATTTTTTTGCCATCTTTTCCAGGTTGGCTTGAACCTTGGGCTCAAGTGGTCCTTCTGCCTCAGCCTACAGAGTAGCTGGTTCTGAGAAGGTCAGAGTAACTTTTTTTTTTTATGGTTTTAAAAATTTTCCTCAGTGAGCATGTGTTGTCTTAAAATGGAAAAAAAAACCGATTTACTTAAATGATAGGTTGGTAGGATTTGTGAAGGTCTTAAGCACCTTTAAAATCTCTCTTTATTTGAAATGAAGAACATTGTGGCCACAGATAACTCAGTTCCTGTCTCATTTCATACTTTCTGTAGATAATTTTTCTCTAGTGACAGGAGGTGGGAAAACTTAGAGCTTATGAGACATTGAGTTCTAGAATAAGCACATGCATTAGCTAGAAATTTTAAACATTTGGGAATGTGCCAGAAATATATATATATATATATATTTAAGATCCCAACACCTACACAGTTCACACTTCTTCAAGTCAGTGGGTGAAACTTGATCAAATGTAATAATGTCTATAAAAGTGTCTCGTTTTCCATTTTAAATGGTAAAGGATTGTTGTTCATACTTTAATCTGTGATTTCTATTGCTACTAACCTTAGGTTGCTTTCTTTGTTTCAATGCACTACAGAAGAATGAAGGGTTAGGAAAATTGTCCCCATGGTGCTGGATTGCAGATACCTTTGCTACTTATCAGAAGATGTGAAGAACAAGGAACAGAAAGATGTGGAGGCTCCTCAGTGAACTTCAATGAACTAACCATGCTACTAAGGCTAAGACAGAGAATTCCTGTCTGCTAACCAGTTAAACTATTCAGCAGATTTCTTCTTGTGAGTGTTCACATGCCAGACTTTCATCTGGTTACCCAATTCCCCAATTGTTACATTCAATCTAGCATGTTCCACTCAAGGTGAAGGGCGCTGCGCCAAGGGTTAGCAAGCAATGTCAAGAATATGCCTTTGAAGCTACTCTTAGATTCAGAGTCTTAGACTGGTAAAACAATAATGACAATTACAGTAGCAAAAGTAGTCTCAGGGTGGAGTTGGGAGATATTAATTGTGATGGGGAGATATTAAATGTGTCTGGGAGTAGGGTGGGAGGTGCTTCTAATTTTAGATGACAACCAAGTTATTTTTAATAGACAATTATGGGCATTCCAGATCAAATAAAATTTCATAGTGGGATGAACCAGCATAATTTATTCAGGGAATGACAAGAATGTAGTGGATATTTGTGGAGTGTCAATTATAGATGGGAAATAGCATTCAGGGTGAGGCTAGATCATAAAGGGTTTTATATGCTAGTCTGAAGTTTGTGTTTTGAAAAATAATATTTGGTTAGCAGTGTGGTAAGAAGATTGAGTAAGGGTAAAGATGAACATATCATTTGAAAGGCTATTGCAATTATGTAGGTGAGGGATGGTTAAATCTATACACCAATCATTCTAAGTCCTGTAGAAGTGTGTGAAGAATGGATTAAAAATAAACAAAATTGGCTGAGAATGAAACTCATTGGGAGAGTGCTTGCCTCCTATGCATGAGGCCCTGGGTTTCATCCCCAATACTGCAAAAAAGAATAAAAGAAATTGAATAAAATTAAGAACGATCAAGGATCCAGTCCAAGGAAGGAATTAACAGAAGGTTTATGAAAATTAGGGGAAAGCAGGGAGTTTGAAAAAATAAAAATGAAATCAAGCAGATGCGATAATTAAATTTTGGAATAACACTTCATCTAAAAGGTAGTAGTAACTACTTCTGTCACTCCTTCTTCACCCTCAACTACTGGCACTTTGAGTAGCTGTTGTCCAAATTTCAACTGACAGGACATTGTACTGGAAACAATTTTTTACCAAGGACTTTTTTTTTTTCTGGCTTCTAGAACTCTTTGTTAGATTGCTCAACACCCCAAATGACTCCCTACCTGGCAGGAATAAGCTTCAACTGACTGGTACATACATACCCCAATTTGTTTCCCACTGGGTGAGATACACTGATGCTCAGAGATCCCCAGCAGCATTAAATTCTCATTATCCAAGTGATAATTTTTCTGATTACAAGGTTTAGTGGCTGCCTTCCTTTCCCGGCTTCACTTTTGCCTACTAGTGTTTCCCAGAGTCACCACAGAAACCGGGAAGTCAAAGGAAGACAAAATTCAGCTCAAAGAAATTATTTACATAAAAAAAACAACAGGTGGTGCACACCTGTAATCTCAGTGGCTCAGGAGGCTGAGGCAGGAGGATCTCAAATTCAAAGCCAGCCTCAGCAAAAAGTGAGGCGCTAAGCAACTGAAGGAGACCCTGTCTCTAAATAAAAATACAAAATGGGGCTGGGGATGTGGCTCATTGATCAAGTGAGCTCAGTACCTCCTAAAAAACAAACAAAAAAACAAGTGTACATGTGCCAGATGATAGATGCTCCCACCCCAAATACCTAAGAAGTAGTTATTCAATGAGCTTAGAAATTGCACATTGGTACTCTATCAAGAAAAAAAAAAAAAAGATGAGAGTTACATGAAATTGTTGACTATAATCTACCAGAAGTTTATGACATGTTTGCATGCTTACACTTTCAGGTTTTTGTTCCTGTTGTGTTTGTTTTTGCTTTTGGTTGTTGTTGTTTTGCCACTGGGAACTTACCTCAGGGGCACTTTAGCATTGAGTCACATCCTCAGCCCTTTTTTATTTTGAGACAAAGTTTCACTAAGTTGCTGAGGGCCTTGCTAAGCAGTGAACCTGGCCTGGAACTTGCAATCCTCCTGCCTCAGCCTCTTGAGTTTCACTCAGTTTTAAAAGATGGTAAATTGTGAGAGGACAAGAACCCCTTCAGTATTCATAACAGTACTTAGACTATTGATGTTCAAATAGGAAATGATAGTAAACCATAAAATTGTCTTTGAATGGCTCATTCTTACAGTCCACTGGTTCCTAGGAAAACAGGAGTCTTATCTCTGCATTTCTATTACTGATACTGTATTTATTCCTACAGAGTTCTCTTCATATGTCTGCTGATGAAGTCAACTATATCCTTTTAACTCAGTGTAGACCATCATCATTAATCATCTGCTTCTTAAAATGCAGAATGCTAGACCTCACTTCAAACCTACTGAATTAGAATCTACATTTTCAACAAATCCAAATAGTGGGAATATATTTTTCAGCTGGACAAGCATGGCTTCAGATGGGATGTGTTGCTCAGGACAGGAGTTTTTAGAATGTCACGGCAAGAATTTCTTTCACCGTACCAAAGGCAAGATGTGTCAAGCTTGTGCCTTGGAAAGAGTTCCACATGACATATACCAGGACAATTCTATTGTGAAAAACGTGAGATAATTTGGAAAGTAGAAAAAAATATATATCTTTTAGACTCATCATCCTAACTGACCACTATTAACATATTGATATGATTTCTTTTAGTTTAGTTTCTTTGTATTTGTGTGATTTTTAAAACATGATTATAAATCCTAACTCACATTAAGTGGGCTTCTTATTTATCATATTATGTCATGAGATATTCATCCCATCATTATTATCAAAATCATCATTTTAAATATTCAATTTGGTATATTCTATATAACAATTATTTTGAAATTTTGAATTTTTAAATATTTTTATTACATCTTATTGCATATAGGTATATTGTCCCCTGCATTTAAGGCTATTTCTTAGGGTTGATTCCCACAAATGTCAGTCTGAATAGATATTTTGGTCTCCAGTGGCTTTGTTTCCACATTGTCTCCAGTGAACTTCAAATCTAAAGATTACAGGTTCTTGCCCTTTATCTTTTGTACCCATATTCCATATTTCCTTTGAAAAGTTAACCACATTTCCTCCATGGTAACTTTTATCCTCTTCCAACACACTTGAGTCACTGTTTTGTTCTTGAGATCCATTTCTGTTCCTGTCCCTGAGTCACTTTCCCCTTATTAAAATTAAACCAGGAGTCCATGTTTCCATGCAGACGGACTGAGCTAACATGGGGCAGCCATGCTGGTTATCCAATTTCAAATATAGAAAATGTACTTTTGAATTACTTCTCCATGGATTTAAAATAAGCTTCAATCAACAATCTTGACAAAAATATTTCCATATATCAATTTAGTAGTGACAAAATCAAAGAGGACAGGGACTGTCTTCTATTTGGAACAGTATACTGCATTAAGTGCATCCAAATAGGAAATGAAAACAAGTGAATTTGCAAGATAGAAAAACTATAAATTCTAGATGTGAAATATGCTATAAAATTTCAAAACTGGGTCAGAGCAAGAGCCAACTCATTCCATTAGCACAGTGGGTCTCACTTTAATGTACACGTGAACAAGCAAGGGAAGAAATCATGATCCCAGATTCCATTGGATTCCCAGAGCTTATGATTTGGCAAGTCAAGGGTCCAGGCAACTGCCGTTTTAATATACACACTAGGTTTTTCTGATGCATGGTCCCTAGGCATATTTAGAGAAGTACTAATTTGGCATCAGGATACATATAGATAGATATCGGTATAGATATAGATATGCTAAGAGGTAAATGAAAAGATTGAAATAAAATACATTTATTTTAGGACAGGAAACTCTCCAATTTCTTGATATTTTCTACAAATGACAAATGCATAGAGCAAAACAAGTTAGTAAATATTGGGTGATCATTAATGCTTGTTTGGCTGCTAAATTCTGGAATGCTATATATGTACAGCATAAGCAACGACTTACATTTTCCTTCTTCATTCCTGCAGAGAACTTTTGTATCGTCTGTGTTTTGTATAACGTCAAGAGATTCGCCAGGTTTTATCTGCAGATCTCTGGTCCCCCATTTTTTAGAGGTTAAGGAGGGTGAAACTTTAGTCGAATATAAAACTCTAATTTCACCATCATACTGGAAAATAAACACATTTGAGTTATTGGTTGATGTGTACTATTATAGTAATTTATTTACTGACAATTTTATTAAGAAAGTATTTACTGAATAGTTTACAGTGTTTTCAAAAGACAATATAAAGAACATTAACGATAACTTTGCTGGGGGAAGTCACTCATAAACTCATCAATTTCTTATAAGAAGTATTTTTAGATAACCTTTTTATCAAGGTTCAAAGGACAAAGAAATTTAACATATATAAGCACATTTACTGTTCTCATAGGACAACTTGCTTCATTTATTATAGGAATAAATTTAAATTCAAAATTAATTTTGCAGAAAATAAAGGAGTAATGATAGATTACTGTAATACTGAAACCACACTATTTTTTTAAATATTAAAAAATGTTTTATTATTAGCATTATTATAGCCTAAAAGTTCCTTTAGAAAATCATTCCTGTCTGTTGATATTGAGTATCTCTGTCCTAGTTTCACAAATAAGTCTACATTTTCTTTCTATGCCACACTATTTAAGTGTGTATTTTGGTGTTTAAAATTACTGAATTTTTTTCACTAGTACTTTGAATTTTGTATACTATTAAAAATGACATACTTTAAATTTTTTTCTGAGGTCTTTTTCTTCTTTTCCCTGCTTTTTTAGCTTCTTCAGGTCTTTTTCTTCTGTCTTGGGTTTTCCAATATTGATTCCTTGACTGGGGTGACAACAGACATAAAACAACATTTTGATTAAAGAATATAAAAATAATAGACTACAATAGAGATTTAATTCATGACATTAAAATCTTGTTCAACACTGCTTTTAATTAGTCATTTCTTGGAAACTCAGTACCATCTCTTACAATCTAAGGATGACATTTCATAATGTAGAAGGGTTTCTTCCAGAGAACACAGATCACAAGGCAGAATGGAAGTGAGAGGTTCTCTATTATATGAAACCATAGAAAACACTGAGTAATGCCTGAGACATAGTTGCATAGTGGTTTCATGTGACTCGATCTGTATTTGAATCCCCTATATTTGATTTTATTTTTTGAATTGGTTCTTCTTAATTACAGATGATAGTAGAATACATTTTGATAAAATTATACAAGCATGAAATATATCTTATTCTAATTAGGACCTTATTATTGTGGTTGAGCTTACTGGTGGTATTTACTTATGTATTTTCATAAAAAATTATGTTAGATTTATTTTACTGTCTTTTCTATTCCTATTCCCCCACCCTTCCTTTTGTTCTCCTTTGTCTAATCTTCTAAACTTCTATTCTTCCCCTACCCAACTCTTTATTGTGGCTTAGCTTCCCCATATTCTCAAAAATATTTGACTTTTGTTTTTTTGGGACTGGCTTATTTCACTTAGCATGATAGTCTCCAGATCCATCCATTTACTGGCAAATGTCATAAAGTCTTTTTATAGCTGAGTAATATTCCATTGTGTATATATACCACATTTTCTTTATCCATTCATCTGTTGAAGAGTACCTAGCTTGGCTCCATGGCTTAGCTATTGTGAATTGAGCTGCTATAGACATTGATGTGGCTGCGTCACTGTAGTATGCTGATTTTAAATCCTTTGGATATATGCTGAGGAATGGGATAACTGGACTGAATGGTGGTCCCATTTCTAGTTTTTTCAGGAATCTATGTACTTCTTTCCAGAGGTGTTACATCACTTTGCAGTCCTACCAACAATTTATTCGTGTTCCCTTTCACCCACATCCTCATCAACATTTGTTGTTACTTATATTCTTGATAGTTGCACAAACACAGTTACCCCATAGTAGACAAAGGTGCCCCAAGCACACACTATAGAAAAGATAGCCTCTTCAACAAATAGTGCTGGGAAAACTAGAAATTTATGTGTAGAATGAAAGTTAATCTCTATCTCTCATTCTGAACAAAGATCCACTCTAAGTGGATGAAAGACCTAGGAATTAGAACAGGAATCCTGCATATCCTAGAAGAAAATATAGGTCCAACACTTCAACATATTGGCTCAGAAACTGACTTTCTTATCAGGACTCCTAAAATACAAGAAATAAAATTAAAAATCAATAAATGGGATGGCATCAAACTAAAAATCTTCTTCACAGCAAAGAAAACAATAAAGAGCACAAAGAAAGAACCTAAAGAATGGGAGAAAATCTTTGCCACTTGCACCTCAGATAAGGCATTAATTTCCAGGATACACAAAAAAATGCTTAACACCAAAAATACAAATAACCCAATTAATAAATGGGCAAAGGAACTGAACAGACCCCTCTCAAAAGAAGAAGTGTGAGGGCTGTAGCTGTAGCTCAGTGGTAGAGTGCCTGCCTCACACGTGTGAGGCACTAGGTTCGATCCTCAGCACCACATAAAAATAAATAAATAAAGATATTGTGTCCATCTGCAAATGAAAAAAAAATTAAAAAAGAAGAAATATGAGTGGTAAACAAATATACATAAAAAATGTTCAACATCTCTAGCAATTAGAGAAGTGCAAATTTAATTCCCTGTATTTTAAAATCCTTCCTAGGTAATTAATTGACTTGGCTAATGTCACAGAAACAGCTTAAAAAAAAGATGCTTTTTAAAAAACTCATTTTTATGGTTTATAAAGTTTATTTGTATGTTTATATTTTTGTATATACTCAAAATGGAGAAAGAGGGATATATAGCACAGGATATTGTTCAATGGTAAAATGCTTGCCTAGTATTCATGAGGCCCCTGGTTTGTTATCCAGTATCACAAACAATAAATAAAAGGAAAAACAAAACAAAACAAAATGGCGCCCAAGTGGGAGGCAGGAAATGTTGGTTAATAAAAAATGCTTAGGTAAAATGAAGACTTTGTATACTATATTAAATAAGATGGCTAATATTCTGTCTTTAACTTAACCACTTTATTAAATTATCTATTTGAATGTGTGTTTGTATAAAAGAAAGACACATTCTAAGTGTTTTGATCAATTGATGGATTTGATATTAAAAATAAAAAGAACTCTAAGGCCTGAGCATTGATAGTCACTATAGCTCATTCATACCAACTGGACTAAAGCCAATTACCACGATAGAGGTGAATAAGCCTAAGACAGTGCTCTTCCAGACCAGCCACACACAGGATGATCTGGGAAGCTTTAAAAACATAATAATGCCCTTGCCCAGTTCCTAGAAATTCTAATTTAATTTATATTTGCTTAAATTAATCTTAAATTCTAATTTAATTAACCTGAATGGGGTCTATATACTAACACACATATTTTAAAAGCTCCCCAAGTGACACTAACTTGTAAATCTAGGTTGAAATCTATTTGCTGGGTAAATATGGATGATAGGGAAAGGGCTAAAATGTTACACATATTAGTGACTAGTGAAATGGTTTAAATACTGATATTAATTTTTATTTAGATGATCTAAGATAAAGATTATTGGTAAGTGATTTATTTAATATGTTTGATTCTAAATTTTTGATGCTTAGTATTTAGTTTATTCACTGTGAAAGAAGAAGCATATAACCTTTCTCTGGTTCTGCATCTGTCCTGTATGTGCACTGCCTCTTGGGAGACTAGGCACTGGTGGAGCCGCTGGTCCAGATTAGAATCTACCTGAATGCAAAAATGCCCCACAAGCTAGCTTTGAAAATAATTTATTTAAAAATAGACTAATATGTTTAAAAAATATAAAATTGTTTTAAATTCTGAAAATAAGCAAAGGGTAGGAAAACAGTCCATATCAGTAATGTTTAATCAGCTGGAGTTTGTTTTGCTCTAAGAAAAGTACCAGTATGTGATTCTGGGTTCCTGGAGAGCTGGTTTTTGGAATGTGATGGCACTTCTGTAGTAATGCACAACAGAAAAATGCATTAAAATCTATCACACATAGAAAGAACTTCCCCATGGTGAGGAATATTAAAACTTGAATGTGTTACTGAAAGTTAGGTTTTCCTTTCATGGAGAACTGAAAGAAGGAGAATGATTTTTGTTTCATCTTGTTTGTTTTGCCTCTGGAACTTGATCTTCACATATGAATGACAGTATATTTTGCCTTCAGATTCTTTGATGTTGATGCTGCTCTAGTTCAGTAAAATTAGTTCAACAATGTTCATTTAAAAAAAAGACTTAAGAGATTTTTCATGTATTCTTAAGGACAGCTCAGAAAATAGTACTTCTTGGACCCATTTATGTCACTTCTGTTCTTTGATTAACCAAGTATACCAAATATATATATATATATATTTGGTTGTGGATGAACCTTTATTTTTATTAATTTATTTATTTGTAGGTGGTGCTGAGAATGGAACCCAGGGCCTCACACATGCTAGACAAGTGCTCTACCACTGAGCCACAACCCCAGCGCCACCAACTTTTTATTTGTCTTTCTTTTAGTATAACAGGGCATTTTTGTTTTTTATACACAGTATTATCAGATCATCTCACATATTTGGTTGAAAATCTGGAAGTATCCTACCATGTAATGTTCTATCCCAAAATAATTTTCAAAAGGTACTCCTTTTGTATTAACTGATTTTAACAGATTTTCAAACAATTTTGGAGCGGCAGGTTACTGGGAATTGAACTCAGGGGCACTTGACCACTGAGCCACATCCCCAGCCCTATTTTATTTTGTATTTTATTTAGAGACAGGGTCTCACTGAGTTGCTCAGCACCTTACTTTTGCTGAGGCTGGCTTTGAACTCGTGATCTCAGGAGAGATGAATTATTGAAATGGTTTATGATAAGAATCTCAAATATATTTCCTAGTGAATGAATGAGCACATGACTGCAGACATCAGTGAGTTACCAAGTCAGTGAGGTTAATCAGGAGACAATTAGCAGAACTGCAGAATCAGGGTATGGGGAAGGAAAAGGGGGGCAGAAGGTAACTGGGGAGAAGGAGGATGGGGACAATTGGCTCATAGACCTGGCAGAGAGTTAGAGCTGAGAGCAGAAGGGAACACAACTTTAGCAAGAGCTGAACCACGAGATGGCACACAGTAGACACACATCCCATCAGGATTTTATTCCAGTTGAATTTTCTAGAACAATCTCATTCTCAATCCTTCATTATAAGGAAAGCATTTTATTACCTCACTTCTGCTGGTGGAGCAGGGAAATCTGAAGCATCCACATCATCATATACTTCTTCTCCCACGTCTAACAAAAGAGAGAAGATCAAAGACTAAAACACTATTCACTTAAATTTTGATAGGAATATTCATTGATGTCTTTAATATAAAGATTGCTTCAAGAAAAAAAGCCAGAAGATTTCCTGGAGTCTGAGTACTTTTCTCTTACAAGCATTGTTTGCTACTCAAAATGGGGAGGTTCTTATCTTCTAAGTTGTGTGTATTAAATTTTCCTCAAAAAAAGAATAAATAAAGAAAAAACAATGATCATGATTCTATGATTATAGCTACCATTATCTGAAAAAAAAAAAAAAAAAAAAAACTCATGGTGCAGTGACTGTAATTATCTAAATATCCAGTAGTGGAATGAATGACAGGAGTAACAAACTGCTGAGAAAGAAATCATCATTATTGGCCACCAGCAATAGGAAATGGAAATTGAAATCCATATTCTGCAGGGTTTAGAGCACTTCAATAATATGTATCATTCTATTTATGCATCTATGTCTATGCCTGTCTGTCCTCTAAATACTTCCGTTCTACTTGCTGATCTAGATTTATTTTGTTCAAGGTAAATTTAAAACTTTGAAAGAACTGTCTCAGCAGATCAAAAGATAAACTTGACTAAAACTTCACAAAGAAAAAATGGTTTAAATTTTCCAAATATAATATAAATTATGTATAAAAATTCAAAGAAATTAGATTCAAAAAGGCCTCAGTGGCATATAAACTGGCATGCTTTTATATGCAAGAATCCTATATATCAAGTGTGGACTGAAATGGGGCAGAGAGACATGGAGGACATTGATGTTCATCTCTTCTACTTATCCCCAACTTCACAGTGTTTTCTGGAAGAAGCGCTGAGCTTTGTCATTTTCTCATTTTATTGTTGAGCAGCCGTGGCCACCCAAGGTGAAGTTGCTTGCGTAAGGTCACATAATTTATTATATTCAAAGTCAGGACTTTAATGCAGATACTGTAACTACATCCAATGTTTCCCACTACCCCATGTGCAAGAAATAAAGATATAAAATATATAATTAGTTTTTGTTACTTACCCAATTGCTTAGGAGGAGAAGGGAAACTGGAAAGAAAATGAGAACACAAATATAATCAGTATAATATGAACCTAGAAAAAATCATTTCTTTATATGAAAGAAGTGTGAACAGGCAATAGCCCAGAGGTTTAAAAAGGTTAATTAATCTGTTGACCATCATTCCTTTCTTATCCTCCATTGTTCCAGAGTTCTAGTATCTGTGCATCAATTTGGAATTTTGCAAGACTTTGTTTTGCACCCCAGTGTTGGCCAAAAAAAGTAAAAAATCAAGACAGTCAATTGACATAAAATATATAAATGCCCACAGTCATTGAACAACATTTTCAAATTTTTCTGAGGTTAGTACATATTATTGCATCAGAATAAATTAAATGGACTTCATATTTTGGAGTCATTTGTGACATACATATCACTGGTCCAAAACTGTTGAATAGAATTAACGAAGAAAAATGCAGAGTAAAAAATCAACAAAGGTCATGGGAATATGACCATATTTCCCCAAATGCATATAATATTACCTCAAAGCAGGAGAATAGTGAATAAGAGAGGAACATCCACTCAAACTAAAGAGTGAGAGCTTATTAATAGAAGTGATCTGAAATCAGAATTAGGTGGTGTTTAGTTGCAACAGAAAAACAGCTTTGCTTTTATTTCTTCCTGAACTGTGGATTCTAAACACACAGAAACACAAACACACAAATCTTTGAAAGAATAGTGCATAGGATAGAAATGACTTATGAGATTGTGAGGTATCATTAATTAAAATAATCCAAAATCAGAATTGGGTGGAATGGAAGCAGAAAAAAATCGGTTATTTTATTTCTAAGTAAAAATTACATATGAGTAATGCTGTTCAAAGATTTATTCTGATGTTTTCTTAAAATTTCAAGTGCACTGTTAATAAACAGTGAGGTTTATTTTGACTGAGGTCTTTTGGTGTTTCATAAAAGGTTTAAAATTGGTAATTTTATATGGAATTAACAACTTTACCTCTAGTGAAATGTGGTGAATACATTAGGTACATATAAAACACATTTTCTTGTGCCAGGGAACATGAACCTTCAAATTCATATGTAAGGATTTATACTAAAGGGTTATTTTTGGATGGAAAAATAAAATGCATGCCTTAGGCTTCATTTAGGCAAACTTGAGTTATTTAGATAATTTTAGTATAGGAGGAATATAATTCAAATAGAACTAATATATAGCTGTTGTGGAACAGAGTTACAAAGACTTTAAATATTATATTTAATGAAAAGAAATTCTAAATTGTGCACTTTAATTTTAGAAAATTCGTTTTTAACAGAGAAATGAAAATTTGAAGATTTGTCAATATAAAATACAACATATTTTACTATTTGCAGTGCTGGAATTGGAATTACAAGCTTTTAGATGGAAAGTTATAACTTAAAAAAAAAGCCCCACTAAATGGTGTATTCATGTGTGTGTGAGCATGTGAGGGTTTGTGTGCTGTGTGTTGTGTGTGTTTGTGAAAAAAGTAAATTGTCTTTGAATTAAATGATGATTTTTGAATACTTGGGCTTCTCTTACATAATTAATATGTGAGTTTAAGCATGACACCATATGTGAGTCTAAGATAATTAATGGCCAATAACATCAAGATGGTTTAAGCCTATCAGGATTTGATTATTAGTTATAGAATATTAGTAGCATTTAATTCAATTAAAATTAGTGTAGTTATTGTGCACTGAGTTCAGTTGGTGGACTCTTACGATGAACCTTCATCATTGTCTGACTCAGAGACTTTACGTTTCTCTCGTATACTTTTCTTTTTGTCACTTTTTCCCTTTATCATCTTCAAAATCCCCCAGGACCACGTGCTACTCTTCTCTTCCACCTGTAGTGTGGAGCTTTGGAGCATGCAGGCATTAATTAGAATGAGATAACCAGCAGACCATGAAAACATTGTGTGGATATCTAGATGTGTTGTAATTACACTGTCAGGTAGCAAGTAAACCTGAAATCAATGAGGTGGTGCTATGAAGCCTACAGATCTTGTGTTTGAATATTGTTTCTACTAGGTGGGTCATATTTTCTATTTAGTGATATATCTTGATTCTTAAAATATAAAGTTAAGTCAGAATTAAGTTTAAAACATTGATTTAGCTTTATATATAATTAAAATTAAGAAATTAATTGATCTTAAACTTTAATATGCTATTTAAAAATGGCAAGAGAAAATTTATTATTAAACTAAAATATTATTATTCCCATAAATTATCACAAATATTAAGATGTTTATTATACAAGCTAAAATATTAACTAATCAATATTGGTTCTACCATTGGTAGCAAATAATCTAAATTTACTTGGGTTGTTTACAATTATGTTCTTATACAAATATAGCCATGTAATTGATAAACACTTCAGATAGCATTGTAAAAATAAATGATCAATTTAATAAATAAACAATTGGAAAAAGTGTAAAAAAATCTACAACACTTATAATTTGTACCTGTTTTATTTCTTTTGCCATCATTGTTGAGATTGTTCCAAACAATCTACCATCTTTATTAGAAGTGTGATTCAATTACAATTCTTTTTGATTCAACCTTCAAATCATTTTGGGGAATGAAATAAAGAACATTGCTTTCTGCTTTTTATCTTAATTGGAAATTAAAACTAAATTTCCATATGTATATAATATTTTGCAAAAAGGCAACCCACTGATTATTCTTACCCATCATTAGACTCTTCCTCTTCTATTCCATCATAAATGTCATCATCTAGTGGTGGTGGTGGGAACCCTTCATTTGGATTAGGGAGGAAATCTGTTAATTTTATAATATGCTCACATACAGATCAATCATATTTTGATAATAAATTTTTCTTATTTGACTGGAGAAATTATTTCTCATCCATATAAACCACTTAAAAAGACAAACCAACCAACTCAAGAACCTCCTTAATTTCCCACTCTATATAGATAGTAGGTAACTTCATTGTTTTGTTTATTATTTCATAAAAATTTGGGGGGAAGAAATGATAATGAAGAAGGAGAGATAAAATAAGGTGCTCTGAACTTGAGATGAAAGTGATGTGGAAGAATAAACATAAGAAAAATAAAAACTGAGTAAGGGAGGTATTCATGGTAGAGAATCAAGTCAATGAGAAAAACATTTAGTTAATGGTGAGCAGACATTCAGAAAATAATACGGATCAAGATGTAAGTGAAGAGAATCCAACAGATTGAAAGGCGAATCTGTAAATGTTGGTGAGTTACAAAACAGGAGGAAAAGAAAGATGATATTTTAATGCTTGTATGTTAAATTTAAGCTCTTTCTTGACTCATTTGTTATAGTATACTCTTTAAGAATCTTGATATTTGATAAACATTTACTTAATAAAGTTTCACCAAATATGTTCTAGGTACAAGAAAGGTATAATGAACTTGAAATTTAACTTTTTGTTTGAAAACTTCAGCCCTCTTTCGTTACTAAGAAATTCAAGTGTCTTTTAGGAGCCACAGTCATACAACCATATAAGCTGTTCTCCAAGCAAGAATATTTTTACACATAAAGTGGCCTGCTTTTAGTAACTGCTTGGACAGTTGGCATAAATCAAGACCACCTTGGATACACTGAAAATGGTGTCACGCTGGAATTCACAACAAATTTGAAAGAAAAAAGTGAGTTGTTCAGAATCACTCGGTGACCACGACTAGCATCCAGATCATTAACTCTCAGGCCAGTGTTCTTTCTCTACATTAAGATCTTCTTCTATATTGGCAAACTAAATAGTTTTTCATTAACATACTAAAAATGTTGTAAAGAAACTTGTAAACATTGACAAAAAGTGTGTGTCTTACCTCCACTTCCACTATGACTGTGGTTATGTGAAAAAAAAAACAGAAATATGAAATTAATACATGAGTTATTTAGCTCTCAGGAAGCAAATAATATATTATAATAAATAATATACATTGAGCAGTTATACAAAAGATAAATAACATTCCATTTAAAAGTCACCAAGATGTGATGTGAAGAGCAAAAAAAAAAAAAAAAATGTTTCTTGTGATAACAGGTTCATAATAAGACAACCTAGCAAGACAAACAAAAACCAAAACCAAGTGAGTTACAATACTACATATTATATTCAATTCAATGATTCTGTTTTTTTTTTTTTTGGTGGTGCTGAAGATTGAACCCAGGGCCTTGTGCAAGTGAGGCAAGCACTCTACCAACTGAGCTATATCCTCATCCCCTCTGTTTGCGTTTAACATTTTTCTATGAGGCAATTTTCAAATTATACATTATTGCATAATTCCACAGATTGACTAAAAAAATACCCTGAAAGTACTATTCTAGAAGTCATACAGAGTTATTATCATTGAGCTAAATTCAATGATCTTTCAATCTTAGAATCACAGCATTTTACTTTTAGCCAAATAACATTAAATGTCTTTATTTAAAGAAAGAAGATTTAAAACATTGAAACCTTCAAGGGGAATTTTTATGGCATGGCCCATGACTCTCTAAATCCAGATTATCTCTGTCTATTAAATTATTCACTTCCTAACATTCTATACTTTATCTATTTTAGTGTTTATAATGATATGTTTTCTTGCCTATATCTCCCACTCTGGTATGAGTTATTTGAAAACAAGGAAAATGTAGACTGTGAGAACCAGAAAAAACTCAGAAGTCATCTGTTCAATCAATACCCTATTTTGCAAGAAATAAACTGAGGCTCTGAGGATTTAAGTGACTTGACCAAACCCACTTCTACACCTAGTTGTGTTCCCTACATCCCTCACTTTTGACCTTTGGATATTTTGCCAGCAACCGATATCAGTTTGGTGTTACAACCATACAGGAAAATTATATACTCATATCTGATTTCTTTTTAAAATTTTTTTTAAATAATTCTAATCAGTTATTCATGACAGTAGAAAGCTTTTCGATTCATTGTACATAAATGGAGCAGAATTTCCGCTTCTCTGGTTGTACATGAAGTAGAATTACACCATTGATGTAATTCTACCATCTTTCCTACCTCCTTTACTCCTCCCCCCATACCTGATTTCTTAATGTTAACAGTCAATTGAGGAAATTGATCTGATGCAGATCTTTGGTTAATTAGAAGTAAAACATACTGTTGCTAATGGAACTTTATAGGAAAACATGCTATAATCATTGTACTATATACATAAGAAACTGACTATTTAAAGATGTTAAAGTATACTCTCTACTTGCTCTTGAACAATTTTCACATCTATTTTCTCTGACACTTTCCTCAGAGCATGAAGCCAGCAGTTAGAATTAGTTTGCATTCTGGTATGCTTCATCTCAGAGATTCTCATACTCAATTTCTAAAGAGTGGGGAAAAGCTGCCACCTACTAATTTCCCTCTAGAGCAATTCTTCAACTTCCTAAAATGACCTGTTTAGAATATAAAACACTTGACAGGTGAAGGAGAGGGAGTGAGAGAAGAAGAGAGGGGAAGAGAGAAATTCATGGAAGGAAAAAGATTTGCTATGTGATAGAAGAGTGCTACGTTCATCCCCAATTGCCTTTCCTTCACAGGGCATTACAGAAACCGCTTTAGTTGAGAAGAAAGAGGGAAGGACAACTGTCAGAGCCTGTGCTTTCAAGTCTTGTGCCTGCTCTCAGAGTTTGAAGTACACAGCCATCTTCTCACCCTAAGGAAATCAGGAAGCAGCAGGTAGAGAGTGCAGGGAGATGGCAGACCTGGGAGGAGGGCGAAGGACCTCATAATGATGGTGACTTCTCTCCTTATTCTTGCTCCAGCAAGCTGCCGGCTACACTCAGCATCTTCCCTTTTTCTGCTAAGGACAAAGCCTGTTCTGTTATAAGAACTCTGCTAGCAGCAGCTGTAGTTTCAAAAATAACCCATGTATAGAAAGAGTTTCTTCTTCAATTTTCTTATTAAATATGCATGGGGAGGGGTAACTGTTAGTAAACATTGTGGTGTTATAATTAAGAGATCAAACATTAAAACTGTACACCAACCTATCCTTTTATTAAATAGAACACTTTTCTGCTCCATGATTACTAACTAGAGCATGTTGTTTAGAATGAAGATATGTATGAACTGGATAAAAAAGTAGGAATAGTTTTGGGATATGTTCTTCTATTATGGTTAAATAATGCTTTTAGGAACATTATTCCTTTTCTACTGATTTATTTTTTTTCTTGAGTTTGCATACAAGTGAAAATATATACTTATTGCAAATGGGGTTCTTTAAAGCCCCCCAAAGAAATGCATTTTTAAAAAAGCAAATAAGATAAAAATACTGCATATGAATTGACAAATATTTGACATACTTATGTCCAGAAAATTCTGTAAATTGAAAAATGTTAACCACTGGGAACTTCATCTGATGCCCAAACAAGGTCAATGTGCTTCTTATTATGAAGGCCAGTGTATGATCTGCAGACTGTAGCGCATGCTTTGCATATATATTTTGTGTAATTTATGGTTATAAAATGGTGAGAAGGCATAGGAGCTATAATTTAGAAAGACAAAACTACCTCAAAGCAACATCATGAGAATGAATGATTACATAAAGTAAAAAATCATAAGAAGGAAATTTAATTCTTCATATGCTTTATAAGTATATTACTAACTTGGTGCTTTTACCATTTATTGATACTTTAAAAAATTTCTCCTTTTCAATTTGAGTCATGAAACATGCATACACAGTTTTACTCAGGTAAAAATCGTGTTTTTTTTTGAGACATTAATTGAGATTTATTGATTTCATAAGGTGGGCATAGAAAAATGAGGATTCTTATTTAGGCTGGAAATTTTCCTACTACTTTCCCTTCAACTTGAGGGCATTCTGTCTTTTAAAGGAAACAGAAGATATTGGAGGAAAAAAGAAATGAAAGAAGAAAAGAAATAAAAAAGTACAGAAGAAAGGACAAAGAAAGATCAGAGCCAGGACAGAGGGAAGAGGAAGGATGTAGAGAGAAGGAGATTGAAGACTGAGGAAGGAAAGAAGGGAAGAAAGGGTTCCTGGTTTAAATTTGGATAGTTTTCCTTCTCCAAAGGCCCATGTGTCAAAGATTTGGTCCCTAGAATGTGGGTACCGGGAATGCTATGGACTTGTAAGAATTGAGGCCTGATGGAGGTTTCATAGTCCTGTGGACAGGCCCCCGAGGGGAATTATGCACCTCAGTTCTTTCTCCTTCACCCCCTACTTCCTGCTTTGTAATGTGAGCAGTTTTCTCTGACATATACTCCCTGTCATTACTATCTGGCATCTTTACCAGAGGCCCAAAGCAATGGGACTGCTTGATTTGGGACTGGAACATCCAGAACTGTGATTAAATAAAACTTTCCCCTTCATAAGTTAATTGCCCCAGATATTTAATTATAGCAATGCAAAGCTGATTAACACGGAAGAATGAGGGAAAAGAGAGCCGATCTCTTCTCCTACTTCTTCCAGAAACAGTGTCTTGTTCTAAGAAGGCATTCCTATTATTATTGGAGGGGAGATCACCCTAACTGAGTGGAGGATATGGCCAATAGAAAATTGTACCCTTAGAGGCCAGGCACAGTGGCACACGCCTATAATCCCAGCAGCTCAGGAGGCTGAGGCAGGAGGATCTTGAGTTCAAGGCCAGCCTCAGCAGTTTATCAAGGCTCTAAGCAACTCAGTGAGACCCTGTCTTTAAAAAAAATACAAAAAAGGGTCAATGATATGGCTCAGTGGTTAAACACCCCTGGGTTCAGTCATCTGTGTATAAAAAAAAAAATTATCCTTACTTGATGTCCAGGGATCATAGGGAACTGAAATTTGACATTTAAAGTGTAAATTGTTGGGCAAGGCAAGCTGGATCACACCTGTAATCCCAGTGGCTTGGGAGGCTGAGGCAGGAGATTGCAAGTTCAAAGCCAGCTTTAGCATCTTATTGAGACCCTCAGCAACCCAGTGAGATCCTGTTTCTAAAT